GCAAACTCTTTGAGTGTATGGTCAATGTCCATCTGATGTGGTTCTTGGAATGGTGTCACCTCTTCCCTTCTCAATTTGGCTTTCGCAAGTGTCACAGCACAACTGATGTCCTCGTGAAGTTGGAGATCTATATTCGTACTGCCTTTGCTGCGAAGACCTCTGTTGTTGCTGTCCTTTTTTGACCTGGAAAAGGAATACGACACCACCTGGCAATACCATATTCTGTCCCAACTCTGCTCTTTTGGCCTTCGTGGTAATCTCCCTCTTTTCCTGCAGAGATTCCTTTCCTTTTGGCTTGGTACCGCGCGCTCTGCCTCTTTTCGACAATATGAAGGTGTGCCCCAAGGTAGTGTTTTGAGCACTACTCTTTCCTTTTTGCCCTCAATGGTCTTCTTTCCTCCTTTCCCTCTGACACTTTCTGCACTCTTTATGTTGATGATCTTACCCTCTGCTGTGAAGGTGATGACTCGCCTTTCCTCCAACGGTGACTTCAACTTGAGATTGATGCCGTGTCGTTCTGGGCCACCAATCATGGCTTCAAGTTCTCTCCAACAAAGACTTGTGCTATGACCTTTACACTGAAGCAGGTCGTCCTTCGACCCCCTCTATCTCTTTAAGGTACAGTACAAGGATTCTGCAAAACTTCTGGGGTTTATCTTTGACACTCGCTTTTCCTGGTCACCCCATATCTCCTACATGAGAGTTGAATGCCTTTAGGCCCTTAACTTACATAATTTAGCGCCCGGGGTCGTAAATAAACGACGCGTAAATACACGCATGTTTATCACGAGTTGCGGGAGCATCGTAAATTTACGCCCGATTAAAAAATATTTGTATAAAATCCAATTCTTATTCGATCGACTTGGAGATAGTATGAAAATGTTTGCCATTAAATTTCCGTTTTCTCTAATAGGCATATGGCCTATTTGGGAGAATGGCATTGTATTGTAACTTTGTGGAAAGACTATTGTATTGTTGACACGGCGAGTGTAATCGCCCACTTCACACACTCTTGGTGTGGGCCGCGATCATGATTCTATATTTATATGCATATGTCTGTGTAGGGAATTTAATTGCAATCACAGTGATACCAAATTTAACGCTGTAGGACAAGTGTGGAGTTGACAACTCGGAAAAGAATAGAAACATTTCGTTACTGTTTGGAGCTCACGGCTAGTGATCAATGTAGTTCTTTAGCTTTTTGTGTGATTTAACTCATGCTTTGGTGACATACATATGTTCTTATAGATCATTCTATTGCGAACACATTGGTACAAAAATGAAATCTGCACATCAAAAATTAAGATCAGGACAGCGAAAAGAGTACACACTTTTCAGTGTTGCCGCTCGGTCACCTGAAAACGTCGAATTCACCTCGAGAAAGTCGAAGTCCTTCCAGTCCATTTCATGGAGGGCATGAAAGTGTTAAGGTCTTCTCCCATACTTCCTGAGGAGCTGATAGGCGCACGCTCCTCGTTACATTCCTCTCTCATGCTGTCTAAACTCGATTATGGCTATTCTGCTTACTCGTCTGCCTTTCCCTCCACCCTTCGTCGTCTTCATGCTCTTCACCATACTGGGCTTCGTCTTGGCTCTGGTGCCTTTCGTTCGACCCCTACCCAGAGCCTGTATGTTGAGGCCGGCATCCTGTCTCTACAGGATCGCCGTGATCGGTACCGTCTTACTGTGCGCGGTCGCTACAACACCCTCATTCTCGCTTATGTCGTACTTTGACCATTACCCCTGCTGTGGGGCCTGTTCCCTTTCACCACCTTCCCCCTTCTGTATGGTTGTCTCGCTTGCAAGGTTCTCTCTTGCTTCATGTTGCCAATGTTTCTCCTCATGTCATTCCATCCTTGGCCCCATGGAGGGTCCCTCTTCCTAAGTTTTGTAGAACCTTAACCTGCATGACTAAGGCTTTTAACCCTCCTATAGTTCTGAAACGCCTTTTCCTTGCTCACTTTTCTTCGCACCCCCACCTCCATCTCTTGTCTTCACCGATGAGTCTAGGTCTGCTGATGGTGTAGGCTACTCCGTTGTGTTTCCTGACTGCACCTGTGTGTGTCGCCTGCCTCTGGAGACTTAACATCTTCATAGCTGAACTTTATGCAATTTTGTTTGCTCATCATCAATTGCTTTCTTTTTTCAAATTCTTAAAATTTTAAATTCAAACAAATTCTAACTTTGTTGTTGTAGTTGGCTCTCCCAGTGCCCTCAGGGCTCTGGAGTCCTTTAATCCTGTCCATCCTGTGGTTGTCGAAATTTAATATTGGCTGTTTCTTACCTCTAGCAGGTTTAAGAGAGTTGAGTTTTACTGGGTTCCCAGCCATATTAGTGTTTCCTTAAATGAGTGTGCTGATGCTGCCGCGAAGAAGCCTATCTGCCCTTGTCCCATTTCTCGCAAAGGTTTTCCTTATTTCAATTTCTACCCTGTTATAGAATTCTTGATCCATGCCCGTTGGCAGGATTGCTGGTCTTCTGTTATGGGTAACAAGCTGCGTGCTCTTAAGGGTAGTGTCTCCATGGCCTTTTTCCTACCACCATAACCGGCGGTGGGAAACGGCTCTGGTGAGGTTACATATTGGCCATACCCATTTAACTCATGGGCACTTAATGGAGCGCCACCCCTGCTCCTTATTGTCCGAATTGCATTGTCCCTCTTAAAGTCGTCCGTATCTTTGTTGAATGTCCTTACTTCCAGGATGTGCATGCATCTTGCTTCCCGACTGTCCCTCGCAGTAACCTGTCCCTCGATAGTATCCTTGGTGAATCGGATGCCTTTGATGTTGTTCGCCATATGCGTTTTTTTTCTCATATTGGCATCCTTAGCGGTATTTTGCACCTTTTGAATATCCCACACTTTTGATAGTGCTATATAGCCTTCCTAGCTTGGTGCCTTCTTTTGATAATTACTTACTCATCACGTAGTAAGCAGTTAAAGATAATAGCAAGTTTTTTCATGAGTCTAGGTTAAATCCAGTCATTCTACTGTCTACCATCATGCCCCGTGATGTTCATAAGTATGCTGTTTTTGCTAACATGTCTTGGACTGATATTCCAGCACTGGTGTTTTGGTGGTCTAACAGGTTCCTGTAGGCTGGGTATTTAGTTACTGTCCCCAGGCCTCCACATGCCTGTGTTGCTTTGGATCATCTCTCTCTGCTAAGTGTCTCATCTTGACTGCCTGCAGTCTCTCCTCCTACCTGGCAAGTCCCTATCTTTCATCTCCATGGATAGTTAACTTTCAGGAAGTCATAAGGAGCTCTCCCAGAAAACCAGCATTAATTGTAATGACACCTCATTTTGGGCAAGTTCCAGTTGTTCCCTGATTCCCTACCTCCCTTCCTGGCTGTCAGTGGGTGGGTGTCATTGCACATTTGCTTTAGAACAGGCATAAAGAGGTGGGAGAAACTAGATCTACCTTCACCCACCTACCGGCAGGAGGTTGGTTCTAAAGAGCTAGCGCTAGTTTTGAGTCAATAGTTTGTTTACATTGAAAATCATTTTGAGGCAATGGGGTAACTCGAACCTGCTTTCTAGTGAATCCCAGATACCTACCCTAGTCGACTCGGCCATGATGGTACAAAAGCCAACCAATCCGGGACACTACTGAATTCACTGAGAGGTTCTGGAGGCCCCAAACTGGAGCCCCAACCAGGGTTTTACAGTCGACCTGACCACACTTTGGCTTGCGGTATGGTGTTCACACTTTTATGCCACACTCGGATAACAAAAAAATCACAATGACACGATATATAAATTAAAATCATTTTGAGGCAATGGAGGGACTCAAACCTGCATTCTGGTGAATCCCAGACACTTGCCCTGACTGACTCAGCCACAATAGTACAAAAGCCAACCAACCTGGAACTCGACTGAATTCACTGGGAGGTCTTAGAGGCTCCAAACCAGAGCCCAACCACGGTTTTACAGTCGACCCAACCTGGCATTCCTGTGTGTCAGTTAGAAACTGATCTTCCTCTTCTTCCCCAGTAGATAAGTTTTCTGTCCTTCCCTCATTTTCTGATTTCTACCCAGTTATTCATTCCTCAATGTGTGAACATTGGTAGGATTGTTGGTCTTCCGTTACTAGTAACAAACTGCATGCCCTTCAGGATAACCTGTCTCCTTGGCCTTCCTCCTCCCACTGTAACTGGCAGTGGGAGACGGCTCTGGTGAGGTTACGTATTGGCCATACATGGTTAACTCGTAGGCACTTATGGAGCACTGCCCTGCTCCTTATTGTCAAACTGCATTGTCCCTCTTAAAAGTCGTACATCTTGTTGAATGTCCTGATTTTCAGAACGTTCGTGCGTCTTGCTTCTCAACTGCTTCCCCCCCCCCCCCTCCTATCATTTTTCCCTTGATGAATTCGATACTTTTAATATTGCTCATCTTATGGGCTTTTACTTGCAAATTGGCATCCTTAGTGATATTTAGCACCTTTTGAATATCCTGCAACTTTGATGGTGTTACATAGCCTCCCCAGGCTTGATGCCTTCTGTTGATAATTGCATACTTCTGGTCTCCAGTAAGCTTTTTATGACTTGCCAAGATCTGGTGGGGTCTGATATGATGGAGCTAACAAGGTGATTAGCTGAGGTAGCCACTGACTAGAGCTCTCCAAGAAACTAAATACCCAGTACTGTATTTTTTTTTCTAGCAATATAAATTGCACTTTTCATTCATTCAGTACCAAGAAAATTTACACTTCCAATCACATGCTCTGGGTTTTGCGGTGTCAACTTGGCAAAAACAATGGTGCCATGGGTGGTGCTGGCACCACCCATGGCACTATTCTGTATGACATTGACTGGAAATAATCAGGTTTTTTCATTTTCTTGGTTTATCAGGTTTGGGATAAAAATTATATTCTAAGATCTTTTAGAGATCTTGGTGTTTTCAGATTTTAATGTTTGTATTTTGAATATTTACTATTAACCATGCACCATATTTATTAAATTAGTGTAGATTAAATGTGAATTATTGTTGGTTAATAGGATGGATGTGGTGCAGTGTTCCGTTGTGACCGATACTGTGGGGGTGCAAGTACGGCCAATAGCTACAGTGGTTATTCTCCAATTGATGAGCGTCTGGCCCAAGACCTTCGGGACACTGATCGTGACTCAACACTACTCAGCCCATAGAAGATATTTGTTAAGCACAAGGACAAAAGATACTAATGGCAAAAAGTTTAATTGAATAGTAGATTTATTTAATCCATAATATACTAGAACTGTATGTTTGTGGAATTCCTGAGTACAGAACCACTACAGACTTTTGTCACTTCATGAGGACATCTCCATAAGTGTCTTCTTTTTTAGTGACTGAAAAGATACTTCAGGTTTATACAAAATAAAACTTGTAGTGCTTTTGTACACTTGTTTTGATAGTCTTGGTTTTCTTTGTTTATACTTTTTGAGACAATTGTCAGTCTTAGCACAAAATTATTCTTCACTGTAATTGCTGTGATATCTTCTGTTATGTGATGGCTGAATTTTTCTCCAAATGTTTAAAGTGCTCCTTCAGAAGTCCTCTAATGTTTATGGAGCGATCAAATACTTTAGGAATACTGCCTTCTCAAAAATAATGTCCCACATGGATAAAAGATTAAAGGGTATATGTTTGTAATACTGTATCTAGTCTTGTGTTGTGTGTGGCCTTTTTATATTGCCTTTAAATAAAAAAAGATTCTCCTGGTACATATTTGTTCATAGCATGTTGGTAGTAATATAATCGTTCCCATGTTTCAAGTGCCTTCTTAAGATGGAGAAATTAAGAAGATAGTAAGATTGAGCAGATAATAATGAAACGGAAGCCTCCGGTCAATGAAGGCTTATTAACTATGATTGAGCGGCCAGACAAGTCAACTATTGTTGTATCATAATGGTGTTGATTAGAATTGTGCGCCAGGAAGATGAGGAAATATATTTTATTATTGTGTATACATGTAAAGATTTAATGAAATAAATCTGTTGATATAAAAAATGGCTAAGTATTGACTTAAATGTGTTTTGGTTGTTGCTAGATTTTTTTATGTATGTTCCTTATTGAAAATGCACATGACAATAAATTTCCCTCCCCTTTACACTTTGTATTACAGGTTTTAAGACAAAGTTGTAACATTTTACCTTTTTTACTAATGTTACAAAATTGAAATTGTCTAAACACAACCATACAAGGTATGCCTTCTATATCATAATTCAGTATAATGCTTAAGAATTTTCATTTGTTTCATAGCTATGCAGAGTTCAATTTTAAAGCCATATTCAACATTTCTTGCTTAGAATTTGTCTCTTTGTACTGATTATTTATATATATATATATATATATATATATATATATATATATATATATATATATATATATATATATATATATATATAAAAAACAATGTCAGACCACGGAGGAAAAATGAAACAGGAAACAGAAATGAATCCTCCTGTTTCATTTTTCCTCCGTGGTCTGACATTGTCACATTCTTAATCACGTGTTTATTTTCGTGATATACACACACACACACACACACACACACACACACACACACACATATATATATATATATATATATATATATATATATATATATATATATATATATATATATATATATATATATATATATATATATATATAAAATATGTATATAAATATAAAATATAATTTTTTTTTTTTTTTTGTAGTGGAGTACATAGACCAGATATGGTGCTTAAATTTGAATTGGGAGTTTGGTACCAAGGCATGTCATTTTGTGAGCCAAGTAGTGAACTAGTCACCAAAGGCACAGAATACTAAGCAGAATGTTGACTGTGTTTACAGTTATCATTCAGATATCCTAAATTATTTGTTTATGCACCGGTGCTTACTTTGTATTTAGTGAAGTAGGAGGCCAACTTTATTCTTTCAAGCACAAATGACGTCATTACAGTTGCAAAGTGAAATTTCATTACAGATGCAAAGTGTTGCACTGTTTTGTATAAATGATCCAAGCTGTTCTGGGCATTTACTTTGTATATATATGTTGCCTCACAGCCTACGTATTGGAGTGCCAGCATCAGTGCTTCTCATATCAACCAGTTCATACCAAGCCTTTAAAACTTGAGTATACTACCTGGGTTTTTCATGGGTGCTTTTTGTTCAAACATTAAAATAAATAGGTGGAAAATAACTATGTATAGATAAACTAATGATTCAAAAATGTGCCTTTGCATAAATCCAAATATTTTCTTTAAAATTAAGTGTGAAAATGAGAGCTTTGAATCCCAGTAATATATTTTTGAATGGCTGAAGGTTCAATATAGATATTTTCATATACAGTACTTTACTATTATTTTGATAATTTTAAAATAATTACTCCATATAGTAGGTGACTGGGAAAGACCACTTGTTACAGTAGCTTGAACACATTGCCTGCAGTTTGTTGCACTACATGTTCTCATAAATGGTCGATGGTTCAGGATTTGTGTGTCAACTTCCTTTCTTTGCTATAAATTGTGAATTCATGTTCAACTTTGTAAACTTTATTATAGAATATATAATGTATATAAATAAATAAATATTTAATACAATTTCCATATCATTTGAAAATCAAATAATTGGATCATTTAAACAAAAATTATAATGTAAGCATAAATTCAATCTTTATTTTTGTAAATGTAGTGTAGTATATTCTATTTATATACAGTATATTTCAAGAGAAGTGAATTGTATGAATAATAAGAGCTAAATAGTCTTATATTGGTGCCTTATTTTTTTAAATTATATGCATGAATAATGCTAAACAGATAGATTTTGAAATTAAGGCTTTATTAATTATGCATTAGGGTTAATTAAAAATAAATCCTCCATTATAAATATCGTTTCTCAACCTTAATTATTTTGCCCCTTTATCTCTCTCCCTCGTACTTTTACTCTTGTGCTTTAGGTTTTGCTCTCGTGCTCTTGTACTCCTGATCACTCTGATCCTCTGAGAGGATCAGAGATCCTTGCTTGTTCACTCTTGTGCGCTCTCTCAAGAAAATACTAGGAGTATTGTTGCTAGTGTAATGCATGTGCTTCATGATAGTCGGCCTCGTGCTTTACGAAGGCCTTTTTTTTTCGAAAAGGCCATTATCCGATTTGGGTTAGTTCAGATAAAGTTCGGATAACTGGTGGTGCAGGCGTTCTGAATAAAAATGTGCAATAAAGATGGAACTAGGTTGCCCCATGACCATACACAGTGTCACTTGAGCAGTGTTCATTCACTAATGGATGACTTGGAAGCTTTAAACTCTGCCATGGCATTAGGTACATGAAAGTACATGGTGAAAATCAGTCTGCTGAGGTTCCATCATTATTCTTCACTTTAGTCATCCCAACACTATCGTCATTCCACAACCACCACCTTTTCTATCTAATGCTCCAACTGTAATTTTCAAGTTAACAAGCAAATCAGAACTCATTATGGTGAGTACAAACAAAACAGTTGAATTACTGCAACACAATTTAAAAAAAAAAAAATGCCGCTAGCTTTTTAGGATGACAAACCACTTAAAATGAACACAACAGGTTATCCATGTGGTATCTGTGCATGGGGTTCAACCACTGCAAATTACCTCAAGCCTATCATCACTTGGCAAAAATCTGCTATCAAAACTATAACAAACTATATCTTCAGACAACACACATCATCTCTGTTCAGGTCCCTTAACATGCTAAACATACACTCCACACATTCTCATGTGCTATCTACCCGTATAAAACCTTACTCCTAAGTGCTAATCTTTATCTGAAACTTTTCCTTGATGGGTGTAATAGAACCCATGAGCACCACACCAGAAATAAATCTCTCTTTGATATCCCCAGAGTCAAACTAAATACAGTATGTGCAAACACTCCATGCAAATAAAAGGGGCCCAGTCTTTGGAACTCACTCCCTGATGAAATAAAAAATTGTCCAGCCTATGCCCTATTCAAAAGTTAAACCAAAAAGTACATAATTTCTTCTGCATAGTTTCCTACCTTGTGCTTCAAACTCAGTCTCTTGTACTACCCACTTCCCCAATATTAGTACTTAAGACATATCCTCCCCAGTGTAATCACCTCTTGTTAACTTTATTGTTGTTATTTGTTGATATAAAGCCTTGCTACAATGTACCTTTTCATCTTAACCTGATATGCTTGATTAAGGACCTGCCCGAAACGCTATGCGTGTTAGTGGCTTTGCAAGAATGTGCAAATACCAATCTTGTGTAATCTCACCAACCCAATGTACCTTCTTGTGAATATTATTATTATTATTCTTGTAAAGGCACAAACACACGCAGCATTTCGGGCAGGTCCTTATTAATTAATCTAACGTAATTTTAAGTAGGTAATTTGTAGCAAAATTTGAAGAATGTTAACAGGACCATGGTAAGAAAATTTTAAGAAAATTAATAGGTACATTATAGTATAAATTTGAGGATTATCAACAGGTATATTGTAGTAAAATTTGCATTCAACGTAACAACCATGATATAAGATGATAGCAGTGATTACAATGAGGTTGCATTGCTTAGGCACATATATTGGGGGAGTGGGATGCACAAGATAGTCTGCTTCCTTTGGTATAACTATGCCCTAATCCAACTTAAAATAGCACCCCCACCCTCAATACTATGAGCTTCTATCTTTTTAATCAATCGTTCATGTGGCACTGTATCAAAAGCTTTGCTAAAGTCAAGGTACACAACAATACAAACCTTAAAATTGGTTTGTAATGATCAACTGCCTCAACTATGCTGGAATAAAATTATAACAAATTTGTTAAACATGAATGGCCGTTAGTAAAACCATGTTGTGAATCATTTATTAATCTATGTTTTTCAAGATGAAGATGAATGGTATTTGCAGTTATCGATTCAAGCAACTTTCCCACAATAGATGTTGAGCTAATTAGCCGATAGTGTGACGCAAGTGATCTATATCCTTTCTTGAAAATTGGTACCACATTAGCAACATGACTGACACTTTGCCTGACTAATGATTTATTACATATGGTAGACAACAGCTCGCAAAGCTCCTCTTTGCATTCTTTAAGCAATTTTTTCATGACTTGACCTTTTATTCTGCTTTCCGTGAGTCTTGTTCCTGGTTAATATGTTGGTGCTGTAGTTGGTTGTGCAGGATACAGCTTATAATAGTCATGGTATATCAGCTCATGGTTGAGTGTCTCCAGGTCGTAAAATAGGTACAAGTCGTCTGGTTTTATGTAAAGTGTTTTTATTTTTTTGTGTGTGTGGTTCTGTTTGTGGATGATCAGGAATTCGTTGGCATGGAAGGTGTGGACTCACTGGTTAGGCAGAGTACCTTTCGGGTCGTAGTCGTTATATATGTAGTCTGGTGCTCGCATAATGAGAGCATTGGCATATTCCCTGATTTGTTCTGGACTTGGTTGCAGTAGTGATGGTGGCGGTGTTTTCGGTAGTCTCTGATTCTGAGGAGGTTATGGCGGTGGTGGGGTCAGCCTTCCCACCGAGACCATTTCATCTTCTGCCTTGCCGCTCAAGGTCGGTGATGTGCCGGTGGTGGTGATCGCGGGGCCTGTGGGCTGCGATGTAGAAGTTGGTGGTGTGGTAGTAACATTCACTGGAGGGGTGGTTGGTGTCGTTGCCGATATCAGGTCTGCCAGGGCTCCTGCAGGGACAGAAATGTTGTCTGCCGTTGAGGCGGGCTTGGATGCGCTTGCAGTAAAGTGTGAGGGGCTATATTACTGGCAGTGAGTAGTGCCTCAAGTACCTTGATGGCTGGTAGTTTGTTTGCAAAGAGAAGTTCGTTCAAGATGGTGACAGTCTGTTGATTGGTCCGGCCATCCAGTCAGTGAGGCGTAGCAGGGCGTTAAGGACGTCGGACTTGGAGTGATGGTGTTTGTGGAGGGGGGAGGGGGTTGTGGCTGAGTCGTCGGTAGTTGTTGGTGCTTGGAAGTGGCTGCCTAAAGAACAAACGGGCTGCGGTGAAGTGGTCGCTGTGCTCAGCAGAGCAGGAAACTCCGTCGACTGGATACTGAATTCCTTGACTCCATGCATTCCTTGATGCACCGGGTGGTATGGTGTCCGTCATCTTTTTCAGTTTTTTTCTCTGGTTGGGCATTCGTGTAAAATGGCGGTGTGGGATCCAGCACAAATGATGCATTGCCGTGAAGTTGTGCCCCTTTGCGTATACTGTATATGCATTTGTTCTCGGTCTGCTGACACTTCCAAGTAAAGTGGTCATACTTGTAGCATCGATAGTATTGGCGCAACTGGAAGAACCGTTTGCTCTGCACTAGGTCTGGGGTAACGCAGATACCAACGCATCTGAAGCCATTTTCTA